ATATTATATTATATATATAATATGTTATATTATATTATATATATAATATGTTATATTATATTATATATATAATATGTTATATTATATTATATTATATATTTATTGGAACAGCATACGATTGGAATCTTGCGTTATTCGGGAATAGTTAGTAGTTGTAATAGCCTGTTGTAATTTTACTGTACTTTTACAGTTAGAGAAAGACCTTCTGCCTTTATCGCCACAATGTTACTATGGGATTGTGTGTAAAGTTTCAAATATTAATGCAATGGGTTATATATAATATCCTTGTTTCTGGTTTATATTTCTGCCCATAATCTATATTGCTGTATTTCTCATTTTTGTACTTGATAACAACCCACCATCATTACCTTCTTTTCCTATAGAGGTGTTTTGCTCTGCCCGTGGTGTCAGGTTCAATGGTGGGGAGACTCAGTTCAAGGAGTTCATGATAAAATGCTCCCAGCAAACTGAATTTGTATTTTTTTATTCACTAATGGGATGTGGACATTGCTGGCTTGCCAGCATTTTTTATTGCCCATCCCTAGTTGCCCTTGAGAAGATAGTGGTGAGCTGCCTTCTTGAAATGCTGCAGTCCTCATTTCTGTACTTCTGATATTTGTGGAGCCTTTAGAGAAGGAACATAAGGACAGGAGTACACCATTTGACTCCTTAAGCATGTTCTGCCATTTGGTCAGTTTGTAGCTTTTCGACAGCCCAACCTTACATAATTTCAACTCATGTCTCTTAAGATCCAATTTTAAATGAAAGTTGATCCCAGCATTAACTGCTGGTTTCAGAAGAGTTGAAACTTCTACCATTATTTGTTGAAGTGCTTGTTAACTTCACCACTAAAAGGTTTGGCTCTAATTTTTAGATAATGCCTCTTGGTTCAAGACTTCCCAATCCAGTCGCACAAACACAGAAGCACAGAATATGGGAACAGGAGTAGGCCGTTCAGCCTTTTGACCGTGCTGCATATTTTCATAAGGTCATGGTTGATCCTCTTACTCGGCACCTTGCTTTCGCTTTTACTCCATACCCTTTAATCCCTTTTCCCCAAAAGCTACGTCTTGGGGCAGCACGATGGCTCCGTGATTAGCACTGCTGCCTCACAGCGCCTGGGACCCAGGTTCAATTCCAGCCTTGGGCGACTGTGTGGAGTTTGCACATTCTCCCGTGTCTGGGTGGGTTTCTTTCGGGTGCTCTGGTTTCCTCCACAGTCCAAAGATGTGCATTTTGGGTGGATTAGCCATGCGAAATATAGGGTCAGGGGTAATTCTGGATGGGATGCTCTTTAGAGAGTTTGGTATGGTTTTGTTGGGCTGAATGTAGGGATTCTATCATAAATCTTTTGAAAACGTTCAATGTTTTGATCTCAACCGTTATCTGTGACAGAGAATTTCACAAGCTCACCGTTCTCTGGGTGTAGAAAAACTTGCTCATCTTAATCCTAAATGGGCTATCCCGTATCCTTAGATTGTGACCCTGGTTCTGGACTCCCTGATCGCCGAGAAGATCCTTCCTGCATTTACTCTGTCTACTACTATTAGAGCTTTATAGGTTTCTGATATTCCACCTCATTTTTCTAAACACCAGTGAATATAGTCCTAACTGATCCAATTTCTGTTCATACGTCAGTCTTGCCATCTCAGGAATCTGACTGGTAAACCTTTGTTGCACTGCTTGCATAGGAAACTAAAACTGCACACGATACTCCACGTGTCATCTGGCCAAGGCCTGTACAGTTTCAGCAAGACATCCTAGCTCCTGTAGTCAAATCCTCCACCTATGAGGCCAACATACCATTTGCCTCCTCACTGCCTCCTTCACCAAATGCTTATTTTCAGTGACTGATGTACAAGGTCACCCAAATCTTATCATACCTTCTCCTTTCCTGATTTTTCGCCGTTTAGATGACCATCTGCCTTCCTCTTTTTGTTGCCAAAGTGGATAATCTCAGATGTATCCATATTATACTTTATTTGCTATGCATTTGTGCACTCACTCAACTTGTCCAAATCACACTGCAGCATCTCTGCATCATTCTCACAGTTCATTCTCCCACCCAGCTTTGTCATCCGTAGCCTTAGAGATATTGCGTTTAGTTCTTCAGCTAAATCATGAGTATATATTGTGAATAGCTGGGATCCAAGCACTGATCCCTGTGGAACTCCACTGCTGCCTCTTAGAAGCTGACCTATTTATTCCTACTGTTTGTTTCCTGTCTGCCAATCAATTCTGTATTCGTGTCAGTGCACTACGCTCAATCCCATTTACTTGCTGATCTCTTATGTGCAACTTACTGAACGCATTCTGAAAGTACAAGTAAACCACATCCACTGGTTAGCCCAACCAACTCTACTAATTATATCCCTCTCAAAAGTCCAATGAATTTGTCAAGCATGATTTCCCTTTCATAAATTCATGGCGAGTCCACAAATATTCTCCCCTCTCACCAGTGTGCAAATGTTTGAAAGGTATTTGGTTGACAGGTTGTGCCTGAACAATCATTTTGCCTTTGGTAATTGTCAGGTTCTCCTTGGGGTTTAATTTCCTTGATCATGTGGGTGTAAACAGGCAGCAGAGAATAGCAATGTTTTCATTGCTTGTTGATTTTCACAATGTTGTCAATTTGTTTTCCAGCAATATCAGCAGCCCCAGCAGACCATTTACAGTGTGCAGCAACAGGTTTGTGTCATTTTGTTTTTGAAAGTTTTGGCTGCAGTGAGTGGAGCAGATTCATTGTTAGCATTGAAAGATGTCATTCCTTTCTGTGATTAGCCTTGCTTTGCAATTAATTTTTACCTTGAACATTCTTGCTGATAATTTCAACAGTAATAATTTGTGAAGATTGATAAGCAGTTGTGAATTATAAATATCTTCTGTTAATAGAATGATCATATATATGATATGGTCTGTATCGCTCTATTTCCTGCCTGTTTGGGTATCTGTCTAAATTCTTCTTGAACATTGCTGTCATATCTGCTTCTGCCACGTGCCCTGGCAGCATGTTCCAGGAGACTACCACCCTCTGTGTAACAAAAAGAGTCTCTCACATCTCCTTTAAAATTTTCCCTCTCGTCTTCAACCTACAGCCCTAGACATTTCCACCTGGGAAAAAGAGTCTGACAATCCACCCGATCCATGCCTTTCACAGTTGTCCAGCACTTTTCTGATAGTTTTGAGTTTAGGAAGCAGCAGTTTAAATATGATTGATTAATTAGAGAAAGAAAGTGTATGACTGACCGATGAGAGCACTTCATTGATTCCAAAGCTGCTCTGTAGGCTAGAGGAATAGGGGCATCTTTTTCCTTCCCATGGGTGGATGTAGGGGAACTCCTGGTTATTTTCCCAAGAAGTTGGTGGCTCGTTTGTGCTTGTCCACTCCCCACCTATTCTTGTTGGTATATCATATTGAGAGCTGGCCGTCTCTGCTGTGTCAATCACCTGTCAAACCCTCTTGACCAGTGACCATGGCCATTTACCCATGATGCCAGAGTGACCATTGCCCCATTATTTGAAAGTTAGTTTTCATCCTTTCTAAGAACAAAGACTTATTTTCGAGCACTCATAATAAAGTAGACTATGAATAAGACTGCACCCCTCATAAGGGTAAGACTATGAATTTTGTCCGGAATTATAATTTCTTAAAAACATCACCACTGAAGTCAAATAGACTGATCTGCGGCTGTTTGGCTTGTCTTTCCATACTTTCCTGAACATAGTTATAGCATTTGCAAATCTCTGGCGCTCTAGGATCATCCCTGAGGAAGATTGAAAATACGTGGCCTCTTTAATTTCCACTCTCACTTCTCTTGGTTGGAAGCATCTTATCCAGTCCAGGTGCCTTATCCTTTAAGTACTATCCTACTTAAACCCTTGTATAATGTTCTAGTCAATCCATTCAGAGATGGTGTTCCACAGCTCTGGAACGAGGAGGATTTGAAACCAGGCCTCCTTGGCTCAAAAGTCAGGACATTACCATTGCATCATAAGAGCCCCTCAAATATTTTTAATCAATCTATTTACACTTACTATGACACACTTCTGGAGCAGGTAGAACTTGAACTCGGGTCTCTGGTCTCTTGTAAATCTCCTTTTTATACTTTCTCTTCACTTCCCTATTTGCTTTTTCAATTCACCTGTGAACCATTCATTGTCATTCTCATCTTCAGCTTCTTATTTTATCTCTCTTGTAATATAGGGACCTCCGGATTCGTTTGCTCCATTTTTTTTGCCCTTCATGGGAATGTACCTGGATTGTACCTGAATCAGTTCCTCTTTATTTAAATTGCATATTTGCACCTCAAATAACTGGTGTGATCTAACTCTCACATGTAAGGGGAACAATTTCTAGGCATTTCCAGCTGTCCTTATTGTGGACAGAATTATAATGGACCTTGGAGTGCAGATTCATAATTCCTTGAAAGTGGAGTCGCAGGTAGACAAAGTAGTGAGGAAGGCATTGAAACACTTGCCTTTATTGGTCATCATTGTGTACAGGAGTTGGGAGCTCATGTGGCTGTCGGGACATTGGTTAGGCCACTTTTGGAATACTGTGTTTAATTCTGGTTTCCCTGCTATAGGAACTATGTTGTGAAGCTTGAAAGGGGTTCAGAAAATGTTTACAAGGATTTTGCCACGATTGGAGGTATTGAGCTGTAGGGAAAGGTTGGGGCAGTTTTCCCTGGAGTGTTGGAAGCTGAGGGGATGACATTATAAAAGTTTATAAAATCATGAGGGTCATGGATAGGGTGAATAGTCAAGGTCTTTTTCCAGGGTGGGCGAGTCCAAAACTAGAAGGCATAGGTTTAAGGTGAGAGGGGAAAGATTTAAAAGAGACCTAAGGGGCAACTTTTCATGCAGAGGGTAGTGCATGTATGGAATGACCTGCCAAAGGAAGTAGAGGAGGCTGGTATGGTTACAAAATTTAAAAGGCATCTGGATGTGTACATGAATTGGAAGGGTTTACAGGGATATGGGCCAAATGCTGGAAAAAGGGACTAGATTAATTTAGGATATCTGGTTGGCAGTGGACTGAAGGGTCTGTTTCTGTGCTGTACATCTCTATTACTCTGACTGGGATTAATTGTAGAGTTTCGTGTTCCCAGCCCTTGGCCTATTGCCTTCTAATCTGGTTTTGAATTTTACCTGGCCTGCTGATATTTTGACATTCACTGTTTCTGGATTTTAAGTTATCTATATTTGGACTCGCTTCATTTAACATCATGCACGTTGACTATCTGACTGCTCTGACTCTGGAAATCAGAGTCATGACTGCTGTCATGGAGTCAGTTCTGTTTGGTGGATAAGGGAGTACTTTATTTTCAGAGCCTGGAGTTTGATATGAATGATTTAGAAGTCTTGAACATTTAAGAATTTGAACATAAACATTAACTTTCTCCTTTTCTTCAGCTGCAGCAGCCTCCACAAGCTTTGCTTCCTCAAGTAAGTTCTCAATTTATTTTTGTTACAAGTAAATGTGGGCTTTATTCCAGAGTGAAATTATTTTGTTCGTAGCTCTTGTGATTTTACAACCTTGCCTATCTGATCTGTGCTTTATTAGAGTTCTGATAGAAGTGGTGCCCTGCAGTTTACAGCTGATTCTGCAATAATTTCTCCTCCTTTACAAGTTCCATACATTTTACGCACTTTTTGCAATATACCAGCTCCTCAAAACTAATCCAGTGATTGTACTGTTGATGATTAATAATGCAATTAAATAATAATTGTTTATTAATAATGTTAAGTTTATTAATAATATTAAACAATCTGAGCCACAAGTTCATATCCTGCAAATGTGGGCTTCTTTGGTTTCAGCCTCCTCCCTTCTTCAGGAATGTAGTAATTTTAAATCAAGATGCAGGATTGAGAAATCCTTGCAATGTGTCCTAATTTGTTAATTTGCTGCTTTTTGTTTTGGAGTCTTTGTTTAATATGCAGTGCCTTCCCCCTTTTTATTTATAGAGAGGGAAAGACTCCAAGTTTCTAACTGACTAATGTTCCCACTGAGAATCTTGTGATATCTAATCCAAATGATTGCTTGACAGTAAGAACTGACAGGCTATTGAGCAACAGGAGGCTTCATGCCCAACCGTGAACCTGTCTCAGCCCAACCACAACATGCCTATGTTTTATAGTCAAAGCACCTGGATGCTGATCAGCCAGGATTCCCGGGCCAAATGTCTTTTTTGCTGGCTAACTAAGTATAGTCTATTACTGTGGCCTTACTGCTGAATTGGCACAGACTGGCAGTCAGAACTGTTACCATCCAAACTGGATAGCTCAGTTGCATGCTATGGAGTGCAATAACCCAATGAGCCCTAAAGCATCTGCAAGTCACTTTGCAAGGAGAATAATTGTCACAAGTAACATTTCAATCCACTTACATGTGAATTGGTTCATTCAACATGCAAAGGCCTGAGTTATAGTAATTTAATAACCTTTTCCTGGATGACCACTGTTGTGGATATAAGTTATGACAAACAATTTTTGTCATAACTTATGGAGTTGAAGGAGCAAAGAACCCTGTATTTTGAGCAGTAACTTTTGCAAAATCTTTTCTGTTGGTTTGTGTCTGTAACTGTGACAACTCATTCCGTGCACTTTTTATTTTTAGCCAGCAGTGGCTCTACCCACAAGCCTCAATGCCCCACAGACAACAGCTCAAATCACCGTCTCTTACCCAACACCCCGGGCTACGCAACAGCAGACCCAACCTCAGAAGCAACGGGTCTTCACTGGAGTTGTAACTAAGCTTCACGACACATTCGGTTTTGTGGATGAAGACGTCTTCTTTCAGCTAAGGTTTGTGCTTCATGTTTTACTTGACAAACTAGGAACTGGACGAGGTCATTCAGTCCCTTAAACCTGTTCCGCTCGTCAGTTGGATCATAATTGATTTCTATCCTAGCTCCATCTAATAGATTTGGTTCTATAATCCTTAATGTTCTTATAAAAGGAAAATGTGACTTTCAATTTCAAAATATTCAACTGACTGCCAGCTTCATCACCTGTTCAAGAGAAACGTTTCCTGATTTCTACTCTTTGTGTGAAGAATGGCTTGTGGGTATTGCCTGAGAGTAACCCTACTCTAATTTTAAACTTGTGCTCCTTTGTTGAGCACTCACCCCACACCAAACACCATGAGAAGAAATGATTTCTGTCCATCTCTCCTATTAAATCCTTCATCTTAAACATCACACTAAGATGTTAGTTTTCTATTTTTAGGGAATGCAAGACTAATTGATGTAAACTGGTCTCATAATGGAACTCTATCACAGATCTGCACCACAGCCCTGCCAGAATCAGTGCAGTTTTGAAGATGGAGACACCAAACTCCAGCTGGGAGATTAAATCTTTATATAATGTGATATCACTTCCTTTATGATAAAGCCATGTATTGCATTAGACGTCTTAATTATTGCATATGCTATACCGTCTTTGTTCAGTTTCTTATAGTTTCACCTGTGGGTTTTTCTCCTGATGATGAGGGGAAAGTGACATTGATATGCGACAATAGATAGAGATAAATAATTCTTAACCATAACACATCAGTCAAAGCCTTGTAGTTTGACCAATTCCAAACATTAATTGGAATGAATGCTTTAATAACCAAATCTCGAACGAGGGCAAAGATGAAGCTGAAGCTTTGCAATTGTTTTCAATCTAGTGTGCCATGTGAATGAACCAATTCGCCCTCCTGGGGTCACAGCATCACAATTACCAGTCTTCAGCAAATTCAAATCCACATGATATCAAGAAATCACTGCAGCCCTTGGTTAGCAATGGTTATAAACCCTGGCAAGATCCCACCGTATGGCTGAAGACATGTGTTGCACAGGTAGCTGCACCAGGAAAGTTCCAGATTGTCTACATTATTGTGTGGGAAATTGCCAAGTTCTGTCTACTAAAAGCAGGACAGATTTGATCCAGTCAATTAAATCTGAAATTAAGTAAATCCAGTTATCGATCTACTGTAAATCATCAGCAGAGTCACAGTATCACTGGTGGTGCTATAAAGAAGCACTTTTGGAGGAATAAGCTGCTCAAGACTCTGAGTTTGGGTTCTACTAGGACCACTGGGTTCCTGATCTTGTTACAGCCTTGGTCTAAATTTGGGCAAAGGAGCTTGAGTCCAAATGTAAGATGAGCGAGACTACCCTAGACAACAAGGTAGCACTTGACCAGGTTCTGGCATATTTTAAATTTGTTCATGGGATGTGGACATCACTGGTTGGGCCAACATTTATTGCCCATCCCTAGTTGCCCACAACAAAGTGGTGGTAAGCTGCCATGAAGCTGCAGAAGACACTGAAAATCTGCAGGGGGATATAGATAGTCTAAGTGAATGGGCAAAGGTGTGGCAGATGGAGTACAATGTTGATAAGTGTGAGGTCATCCATTTTGGTAGGAATAACAGCAAAATGGACTATGTTTTAAATGGTAAAAAATTGCAGCACGCTGCTGTGCAGAGGGACTTGGGTGTCCTTGTGCATGAATTGCTAAAAGTAGGATTGCAGGTGCAGCAGGTAATTAAAAAGGCAAATGGAAATATGGCTGTCACTGCTAGAGGGATGGAGTTTAAAAACAGGGAGGCTATGCTGCAGCTGTTTTGGGTCCTGGTGAGGCCACACCTGGAGTACTGTGTGCAGTTTTGGCCTCCTTACTTAAGAAGGGATATACTAGCACTGGAGGGGGTGCAGAGGAGATTCACTTGGTTGATTCCAGAGTTGAGAGGGTGAGATTATGAGGAGAGACTGAGTAGACTGGGATTATACTCATTGGAATTCAGAAGAATGAGGGGAGATCTTATAGAAACATAAGATTATGAAGGGAGCAGATAAGGTGGAGGCAGGGACGTTGTTTCTGCTAACAGGTGAAACTAGGACTAAGGGGCATAGCCTCAAAATAAAGCGAAGCAGATGTAGGACTGAGGTCATGAGGAACTTCTTCACCCAAAGAGTTGTGAATCTGTGGAATTCCCTGCCCAGTGAAGCGGTTGAAGCTACCTCGCTGAACGTTTTTAAGGCAAGGCTAGATAAATTTTTGAACAGTAAAGGAATTAAGGGTTATGGTGAGCAGGCGGGTAAGTGGAGCTGAGTCTCAAAAAGATCAGCCATGATCTTATTGAATGGCGGGGCAGGCTCGAGGGGCCAGATGGCCTACTCCTGCTCCTAGTTCTTGTGTACCGCTGCAGTCCATTTGCTATAGGCAGAACCACAATGCTGTTAGGGAAGGAGTTCCAGGATTTTTATCCATCAACGCTGAAGCAACGGTGATATATTTTGAAGTCATCATGGTCAGTGCTTTGCAAGGAAACTTGCAGTTAATGGTGTTTCCATGTATCTGCTGCCATTGCTCTTCTAGATGGATGTGGTTTTGGGTTTGATAGGGGCTACAGAACCTTGATGAATTTCCGTATTGCATCCTGTCAATTGTATACACCACTTCTGCTGAGCGTCAGTGGTGTAGAAAGTGGATTGTTTGTGGATGTGGTGCCAATCAAGTGGGATGCTTTCACCTGGATGGTGTCAAGCACAAGTCTTCAATACTATTGTTGGGACGTTGTCAGCCGGCATAGCCTTTGCAGTAGCTAGTGCCTTCAGCTGTTTCTTTATATCACACGGAGTGAATTGATTTGGTCGAAGACTCGCACCTGTGACTAAAAGGACCTCAAGAAGGCAGAGGTGGATCATCCACTCAATACTTGTGGGTGAAGATTGTTGCAAATGTTTCAGCCTTATCTTTTGCACTGATGTGGTGGACTGAATATTTTTGCTGTCTTCTTCTCCAATGAGTTGTTCAATTGTCTACCACCATTCACGACTGGACTTAGCAGGACTACAGAGCTTAGATCTGATCTGTTGGCTATGGAATCGCCTACCTCAATATCACTTACTGCTTATGCTGTTTGTCTCACAAGTGGGTTTGTTTTATACCTTTGCCAGGTTGACACCTCATTTGTAAGCATTCCAAGTGCTACTCATGGGATTTTCTCCTTCATTCTTCATATTTTTCTTATTCATTCTTTGGACGTGGGCATCACTGGCTAGTCCAGCATTTATTCCCCATGCCTAGAGAAGGTAATGGTAAGCTGCCATCTTGAATCATTGCAGTCCCTGTGCTGTAGTTAGGCCCATAATGGTGTACGGAAGGGCATTCCGGGATTTTGTCCTGATTACACTGAACGAACCAGTGTTGATTCCCTGGCTCATAGTAATGGTCAATTAGGAATAAGCCGGGCTATGGTATTTCAAATTATATTGTTGTACAGTTCTGCTTCTGCTGATGGTCCACGGTGCCTCATAGATACCCATGTTGAACTGCAGTCTATCCCATTTGACGAAGTGATTGTGCCACACAATAAAGGGTGTTTTCAATGTGAAAACACTGCTTCATTTCCATAAGGAATGTGTGGTGGTCACGTTTATTGATGTGGTCACAGACGGATGCATCTTAGCAGGAGGATAGGTGAAGGTGAGGTCAAATGTGTTTTTCCCTCTCGTCAGTTCCCTCACCATCAACTGCGGACCCCATCTAGCAGCAGTGTTCTTGAGAATTCAAACAGCTTGATCATGGTGCTGCTACAAAGCCAGTCTTGGTGGTCAACATTGAAATCCCTGACCAGAGTCCATTTTGTGCCCTTGCCACCCTCCATGTTTCCTCTAAGTGTTATTCAGCATTGAGGAGCAATAATTCACCAGCTGAGATTAGGAGCTGGGGCAATATGGTAATCAGTAGGAGGTTCCTTTTGCCCATGTTTGACTTGGTGCCGTTAGACTTCATGGGGCACAGAATCAAAGTTGAGGACTCCCAGATCAACTCTCTCCTAACTGTTTACCACTCTGCTGGTGGTACAGGACATACCCAAGGATGCGATGGCATCATATGATATGGTGCCATGGATATCACTTTGTCAGGCTATTGCTTGCCTAGCCTGTGAAGCAATTCTCCCAATTTTAGCACTAGCCCCCAGACGGTTGTAAGAAGGACTTTGCAGAGTTGAGCTATTGTCGTTTCCAGTGCCTTAGTCGGTACCAGATTGTCCATCCGATATCTTTCCATTCTTGAGACTTTCCAGCTGTTCATATAACTGAAGTCTCATTTTAAGACAGTTTAGCAGGCAATAAAGAAGCTCCTGCATTATCGGGTCCAGAATCACATGTGAACCAAACCAGGTCAGGATGACAGTTTTCTTTCTCCGTAGGATAAGAGTGAGCACATGGGTTTTTCCAATAGACAATGATTTTATGTTGTCATAGACTTTTATTTCCAGATTTTTATTGAACTCAAATATCACCATCTGCCATGGCGAGATTCAAAACCAGGTCCCTTGAATACCAACTGAAAGAACTGCGAATGCTGGAAATCAGAAACAAAAAGAGAAATCGCTGCAAAAGCTCAGCAGCTGTGGCAGCATCTGTGGAGAGAACTCTGATTTAACATTTCAGGTTCAGTGACCCTTCCTCCGAACTGTTCTGAGGCAGGTGTTGCGGCAGATTATTTCATAAAACAATCTCTGGAGCCTCAAGACACAGGTCAACTATCATTTACTGAACCTATATTAGGAGAGTCCATCTCAGAAAAAATTCTGAGTAGCACTCTAACTCAATGAGGATTCATCAGATATTTCTACTTTTGAAAATTATGTAGACAGAACACCCGATCTCCAAAATGGTCTGTTTTAGACCATCTCGTTTTTCACACGTTCCAAAATGCACCTGTTATGCCTGGCCTCAGCACTCCCTATCTTCCCAGGTGCCATCCTGTCTCCTCTCTGAAGCCTCTGCTTCTTTCCCACCCTTCACTAAACCCCATTGCTTTGTCTTTCTTGCCAGGGTATGGGTTAGCCTCTTGTTCCATTTGCAAATAAGGCCTCCGGATTAATGCTGGTGCAGCCAAATTGTATTTTCACAGAAACTCTGCTGCATCTGTATCTGAGCATGCTTGTGGAGTTTAAATAATTTTCTTTTTAACCTGACTAATTTCTTGCATAAGAATAAATGGAAAAAGAATATTAAATTATTAGTGCTTATGAAGTTAACTAAAACTCTACCTCACTCCAGCTGGAAATTAATGTGGATGACTCATGTCATATCCAAATTTCCAACCAACAAGCCCAAGCTTGTTATTTAAGTCATGAGGAATTTCTTCACCAAAATGTAAGAATTAAGTGCAGGAGTCGACCATTCAACCTTGTGAACCATTTGACAAGATCATGGATGGGCTTGTAAGAGGCTTAACTCTACTTTCCAGTCTGCCCTCTAAAACCATTTATCAATGAAGAAAGCTCAATCTTAAACATATTAAATGATGTGACCTTCACTGCTGTCTCGGGTACAAAATTCTGCAAATGTAAACCAAAAGTCGCCATGGTCTCCGAGGACCATAGGGCTGCCCCCTCATTACAGAGAGATGACTGGTTTAACCTGAGGGTCACTGTACTTAATGTGAGGAGACTCCTTCATAGTAACCTCAGCCATTGTGGAAATTGATTCACAGTGCCTTTCGAGCAAAGTACACCCAACAGACAGCCCTGGCTGCAGCTGGCCTCACTACCCAACAACTGCATGCTAAGATTATCCACTGTTCTAGTGTCAGGAACAAATATACAAGGAGATCCTGAGCCACTGTTTGATCAGTGCAGTCTTTGAGACATGATATAGTAACATTGTTTTGTAGTCTTGCTGGTTAATGCAAATGATAAACTTCCAACTGTCTAGTTCATTCTTTACTGATTGGGATTGAATTGTAGTGTCCTTTAGTCATTAATTGTTTTTAATCTAGTGAATGTTCCTTGTCACTGTAGATCAGAGATGTCCTGATAAATGTCACTTTAAAACCGGTGCTTGGCCTGTGTTATAGTCATTGTGAATCAGAGAATGCAGAAGTGACTCTAAATCTTGGTGGTTTAATTGTACCGATGCTTTAACTAAAGACCAAGAGGAGATTTGAAGATCTTAAAAAGTATGGTGGTGCTGGAAAGAGTATATAGGGGGAAGCAACTGTTCTTGCTCATAAAAGAATCAAAAACAAGAGGGCACAGATATAAGATGGCTTGCAAAAGAAAATATTTTGAGGAAAATACTTCATACAGCAAGTAGCTAAGATCTGGAACACGTTGCCTGGAGATTTGGTCAAAGTAGATAAAGTTAAACCATTTTGCAAGACCCTAAGACCTGAGGACAAGATTGTTTAAACAAATAGTATTCAAAGTTGTGGGGAAAGACAGAAGATTGGTACTGAATCATAAAGCTCATTCGGAGAGCTGATGCAGACATGATGGGCTAAATGGCCACCTTCTATATCATAACAATTCAGTGATTCTATAAATGATTGGACAAGTAATGTGTCTAATTATCTTGTTTGATGGATTATAAATTGTAAACATCAGAGGGCTAGTATGTTAGCATCACTCTGCTTCACAGACCAGCCATCCAACTAGTTGAGGTAACTGACGCCCCCTGCAGATTAATGACCCTCTGAAAGAAAAATACTCTCAAGAACACAAGTAAATGAGCCCAGCACAGATCACTGTGGCACTGCACTTACTCTGAAAATGACCCATTTATCACAACTGCTTCCTGTTAGTTAGCCAATTCTCTATGCTAACATATTATCTCAGCACCATAGGTGTTACAGTTACACTTGTGTTACAGTTCAGAGTTCAACATGTATACTGTATCCTGGAGCTATAAATAGTGTTGGGAGAGGATCCAACTTTCTTCCCATCATTTAGTTGACCAGACATCTTTCCTGCTGCCACGACCTGCCACTGTTGCTTGTGAGAAGGATTTGCAGATTGATATTCAGACTGTTAGGATGAGTTATGAATGCACTTGCTGAATCATCAAGGTAGGACTGTAATTTGGATGCTTAGAGGCAGCAACACCACACACTGTGCCATTGGACTTGATGAAAGTCAATGTCAGGTGCCCTAACTGTGTGTTTAGTTCTTCTCTCAGTACCAACTCTGCTTTTAAAAGAGGCCCACTACGTGCTCCCATTCTCTGTGGGTGATTGATTTTTGATATTCTCAACTCCAGAGAGCCGTGAGGCAGTGTCATTGAATATATTTTCAAGACTGAGCATGACAAGTTGAGACATGATGTGGTGGAACTGGATGTTGTCAGTGTACATGTGGAGCTCTACTTTGTGACTTCAGGTGACGTTGCTGAAGGTAATGTGTAGATTGGACAAAGTGTGGGTAAAGCATTGACTCAAATGATGCTTTTCATGAAAATAACTTGTCACATCAAGCACATATCACCATTCAGCAAGACACTGCAACCAGTTAAGTGGCAAAGCCTTGTATCCTCGAGCACCATTAGAAGCACATAGTTAATGCTGTCTGTACTGAGGTGTAATGAATAGAAACAGATTATATGTTAAACTGTTTTTTTGTTATACTAAACCTTTCCTATTTTAAAGCTAGCATTTAGTCAAGTTGCAGTTAATATGTGCATGTATATTAATCCCTCACTCTGCTGTAATATATTGACTGAATGTTTTTGCATTAACCAGTGCTGTGAAAGGCAAGGCCCCCCAGGTAGGAGACAGAGTTCTGGTCGAAGCTGCTTACAACCCTAATATGCCCTTTAAATGGAATGCACAGCGAATACAGACTCTGCCCAACCAGGTGAGATTAACTGAATGGAACAACTGGAAAGTTTTTCGATTTAATACTTTGGTACTTATTTGTTTGTTGTGCAAATTCAATCCAGACCTTTTGCTGTGCAAGATGATGTCCACAAACCTCGATCCCAAAACCTCACTTGAAAACGCATTTTGCATTAATTCCTATCTTTTATGAGGTTCATTTGGCTGCAGTTCCACATGTAGTTGCACTCTGCATGCTGTTATACTCCGGGATGAGACAGGCAAATTTAGGCAGGTAACATTTTTTTCTTCTTGTGACCGAAGTTTGAGATCCCAGGTACTTTAGAGAATAAAGCCTCAAGATTCCATGGCTTTGGCAAATTTAATAAACGCTACTGTGGAAAGTTAGATTACTAAAATTATCTACTATATATACACTTTAACATCTAGAATTAACATAACATGAACTGCAGTTGAACGTTTAATAGAGCTCTTCAAATAATAAACATGTTCAGGGCAGATCCCACAGATTTTTCTGCAAACCCCCTCCCAAGTGTAATGACCAAATCGCATTAAAATGTTGTTTCTACTCCAATTCTCACTTTCACATTTCCTTCAGAACTTCCTCAAAAGCCACACCATCATTGAATGCCTCCATGATGGCCAGGTCCGTTGTTCAAGTAGTTAAGTCTGACTTGCACTGGACTCCGAGGACTGAACTTGACCACCCACTGGCACAGTCCCAGCTCTTCTGCAGTCAGCCAGCTTCACTCAGCTGACACTAGCCTTGGGGTTCCTCTGAACTCCAATATTTCTCAGCTGCACCAAGCAAATGCTGCTTATGGGCTTCATTCACCCTTACCTTCACCTACATTGAACCATCAAGGCTTTTCAGGACTGTTTCTAAATCCCAGCTGCTTTGATGGTTTTCAGGGCCAACTGCCCATATCCAGCATTCTAATTCTGTCCTTATCTGGTTTCCTTACATTTTTTTCCCATACTTATGTGGCCTTAATTGAGAGACTTTACATTCATGCAAGAAATACATTATCTGAATAGCTTCAGGTTTTCCTTGATCCCAGTTCACTCATATTCCTTTGTTGATAGATTTAAAGTGGCTTTCCCAGCCTAACACAGCCACTCACCCCCGCCCACCACAGCTACTTGTCCTTGCTTACCAGGGGCGCTCTCTCGCTATTCCTGCCCCAGCCCCTCTTCACCTGACGCACCCCTCTGCCCTGTCCCACACAGCCCCTCTCCCCTGCCCACAGTACCACCACCACCACCACCTCCACCTTCACTGCCCCCTCCCATCCCCAAGGGTTAAGGTTGATGCACTACCATTCACCTTCTTGATGCTTGGTGCTCCTCCAATCACAAGTTGTATCTCTTAATTTTTCTGGGTTTTGATGCCTTTCAAAGGTGAATTCATCCATTTCTGCCGTGTAAAAGGGACATAGTTAGCTGAATTGAGGAGACTGTAGCCCTAATTGGGAGACACAGGTGTGAATGCATAGTGTGTCTGTATGAAAGTATAGGTGCGCACATGTAAAATTTGTATATGAATATGAAACATGTATGTGTTGATATGCGTGCTTCACACTTTTGCCTCAATTGAGGGCAAGTCACTCAACTATTTTTCTTGAATCAACTTCCTAGAGTCAGACTCAACCACTGATCAAGACACCTCCAACTGTCATGCAGCCTCTTACACAGCAGCCATATGGTGTTCCACCTCAGCCCCAGTCTCTCTTACAGGCATCTATGGCTGCTGCTCCTCTCACTCCTTTGCTGTCAGCACAACCTCAACCTTTGCTCCAGCAACCACAGCAGAAACGTAAGTCACCAACAAGATCTGCATTCGTATTAATAATACGTAGATTAAACATACGTCACCCACCAGCCATGCAGTGCAATTATAAATTATTGTGGATGTATAATATGTAATTGAGTCTAAATATGGATCACATATTCACAAATTTATCAAAAATCACCTACAAAATCTTTATTCACATCGTTGTAATTTAAACCTGAAACAACCATAAGGTGTACTTTAGTTTACACACAAGTCTCCTGACAAATGTGGTTCTCAACTGTTTTTCTTTTGAGACCTCTTTTTACATATTTCTGCACATCTTGTGTAGCACAACATAAGTATTTTAGTCTGTGCACAAATTAGTTTTACAATTAAGTATCATTTTTGCTTTTCTTAATGTATGGCTTGTTACTGGTGTTAAACAATCATTCAGTCAAGACCTAGAGTCCTCTTCCATCAGAGCATGCTTTTGTCACAATCACTGTTAAACAAAAACCAAAAATGCATGGCATGTTGGTCAGTATCTGTGGAATAGAAGTTTCATTAGCCTTTATTGTTAACTATGCTCCTCTCTCAGCAGAAGCTGTCTGACCTGTTGAGTGTTTCCAACACTTTCTATTTATATTTCCAGTTTCCACTGACACTCGATTGTGCAATTTGTGGCTGCAGGTTTGCTTCTAGCAGTGCTGCTAAGAGGGAGCATTTCAGAGAATCAAGTTGGAACCTTCCGAAGGAAGGATTAATCATGTTTCACCTTGCTGAAAAATTGATAACAATGCCTTGATCATGTTAATGCTGCTGCTTGATGACTGCTTCAAATCGTGGAAGTTGTGTTCCTCGGTCTGATATCTCACACCTAGAGGAGATCAAGCATTGCCAGAAAACAAGTCATAAAGCTCTGACTGAGAGCTGTTAAAAACATCATTCTAGAAGTGATACTTCATTTTTTGTTTTGAACACAATGGCTCTGAACCTTTCATACATTTTGCTATCTTGCCACTTTGTAATATTATTTCACCTGTGTTCCTGTTACAGCCGGGTTGCTGCAACCTCCTGTACGAGTCATTCCACAGCCACAGGCTGTCCGGAGGATTGAACCGCCATCAAGATTCATGACCCGGAATGAAAGACTTGAAATAACATTAACCAGGAAAGATGATCGAAGGTAAAATCACAATTAAGTCACTTGGGCTCCTAGCCATTGAGTCATAGAGTAATACAGCATGGAAAGTGGTCTTTCAGCCCAAATGGGTCCATGCTGATGAATGTGCCCACTCAGCTAGTTCCAAATGCCCGCATTTGGTCCATATCCTTCTGAACCCTTCTCGTCCGTCTATCTTTTAAACATTGCTGTTGTACCTGCCTCAACCACTTTCTCCCATTCCATATACGCACCACTCTGTGCGTGAAGAAGTTGCCCCTCAGGTCCTTCTTAAATCTATCCCCTCTCACCCTCTAGTTTTCAATTCCCCATCCCTAGAAAAAAACACTATACACATTCATCCTATCTCTGCCCTTCATGATTTTACACACCTCAATAAGGTCACCCCTCATTCGCCTATGTTCAAGGAATAAAGTCCTATCCTTGCCAACCTCACCCTATAACTCAGGCCTACTAGTCCTGGCAACATCCTCGTAAATCTTCATTGCACACTTTCCAGTTTAACTATTGTCTTTCCTATCACAGGCTGACCAAAACTGTACGCAATGCTCCAAGTGTGGCTTCACCAATGACTTACACAACTGTAACATAACATCCCAACTCTGATACTCAATGCCTTGACTGATGAAGACCAGCATGCTAAATGCCTTCTTCACCACCCTGTCTACCTGTGACACCGCTTTCAATGAACTATGTACTCCCAGGTCTCTCTGTTCCACAACACTCCTCAGGACATTAACATTTACTGTGTAAATCCTGCCTTGGTTTGACTTTCCAAAGTGCAACACTTCACATTTACCCTGTATTGAATTGCAATCCTCAGCCCACTTCCGCATCTGATCAAGATCCCTCTGTAGTTTTTGATAACTTTCTTCACTGTCAACAATACCTCCTAATTTTGTTTCATCTGCAAACTTACTAATCATGTCTTGTACATTCACATCCAGATCATTTGTGTAAATAACAAATAACAAAGGCTCCAGCGCTGACCCCGGTGGCACACCACTAGTCACAGGCTTCCAGTCTGAGAAACAACCTTCAACCATCACCCTCTCCTTCCTACCATCGAGCCAATTTTGAATCGAATTTACTCTCTCTCCCTGGATCATGTGTAACCTAACTTTCCTGACAAGCCTGTCGTGTGGGATCTTGTCAAAGGCCCTACTAAAGTCCATATAAACAACATCCACTGCCCTACCCTCATCCATCCTCTTGGTTACCTCTTCAGAAAACTCTTAAAATATTTGTCAGACATGACTTCCCACGCACAAATCCATGCTGACTATCCATAATCAGCTCTTCACTATCCAAATGTTGGTTGATCTGCCACTTAGTATCCTCTCCAATAACTTGCCTACCACTGATGCCAGGGAACTACAGGCCAGTGAACCTGACTTGTCTTTGCTACCTTTCTTAAACAATGGGACAACATTAGCCACCTTCCAGCCTTCTGGAACTTCAGTGGCTAAAGATGAAGCAAAAATCTCTGCAAGGGCCTCTGCAATTTCTTCCCTCGCCTCCCACAACATCTGAGGATGGACTTGATCAGGTCCAGGGGATTTATCCGCCTTAATGTGCTATAAGGCTGCAAACACTGCCTCTCTGGTAATGTGTATGAGGTCTAAAATGTCCCCATTTGTTTCCCTTATTTTGTTAGCATCCATGATTGTCTCCTCAGTAAACACTAAGGAGAAATATTCATTAAAAATCTCCCCCCATCTCCTGTGGTTCCACACGTTGACGGCCATGCTGATCTTTAAGGAGACCTATTCTGTCCCTAGCCATCCTTTTACTCTTAATAGAGCTATGAAACCTGTTGGGATTATCTTTTACCTTATCTGCCAGATCAATCTCATACCCTCTTTTTACTCTTTTTTCCCTCTGAAGTGTGATCCTACACTTTTTATAAACATCTAGGGATTCACTTGAGCCCGATAGCTTAAACCCAATGTATGCCGCCTCCCTTTTCCTGACCAGAGCCTCAATATCCCTCGTCAGCCAGGGATCCCTAAACCTGCCAGCTTTTCCCTTCACCCTAACAGAGACATGCTATCCCTGAATTTGATATCACAATTTTAAAAGCCTCCCATTTGCCAGTCGTTCCTTTTCCTTCAAACAGACTCACCCTTTCAACCTCTGCTCGATCATGCCTAATGGCCCCAAAATTGGCCCTGCTCCAGTTCAGCGCCTTAACCTGTGTACCTGTCCTGTCTTTTTCCATAACTACGTTAAAACTAAGAGAGTTATTGTCACTGGACCCAAAGTGTTCTCCGACTGTCACTTCAGTCACTTGCCTGACCTCTTTTTCCGATGAGAAAGTCCAGTGTTGCGGCCTCTGGAGAAGGGCCCTCTACATGTTGATTTAGGAAACTTTCTGGGATGCACTTGACAAATTCTACCCTATCTGGACCTTTTACACTCTGGGTGGCCCAGTCAACACGGGAAATTAAAATACTACTCTATTATAGGATATGCAGAGTAGATTGATCTTCGTGGGATAATAGGTCGACACAACATCGTGGGCCAAAGGGCCTGTACTGTTCTATGTTCAATGCTCTATTCCTACAGGTATCTGCAATCTCTCCACACATCTGCTCCTCTAGAATCCGCTGGCTATTTGGGAGTCGATAATACAGTCCCAACAGAGTGACCATCCCCTTCTTGTTTTGTAGTTCTAACGATATGTTCTCATTTGATGACCCCTTCAGAATATCCTGTCCAAGCACTGTTGTTATGTCCTCCTTCATCAAAAGGGTAACTCCCCCTCAATGCTTGCTTGTAGTTCTGTCACGCCTGTGGTTTCTGTATCCTGGAACATTGAGCTGCCAGTCCTGCCCTTCTCTGAGCCATGTTTCTGTTATGGCTGTATTATCCCAGTCCCCAGAGCCAACTCATGCCTTACTAGTCAGGCCTCGTGTTAAAATAAATACACTTTAAACCAGAAGTCTTTTCCTTCCCTTTACTGTGCTCCTGCTATCCTGAACAGTAAACTTGCTCTCGATGGCTAATGTATTTTCCCCTGACTTCTTGATGGCCCCTCTCTGATTCAGAGTCCCACACCCCTACCAAACTAGTTTTAACTCTCCCAGGTAACACTAGCAAGTCTCCCTGTGAGGATATTGGACCCCCTTCAGTTCAAGTGCAATCCGCCTTTCTTTTACAAGTCACCTCTACCCCAGAAGAGATCCCAATGATCCAAGAACTGAAAATCCTTCCCCCTACACCAACTCCTCAGCCGTGCATTCATCTAGCCTATCTTTCTATTTCTGTCCTCGCTGGCGCGTGGCACTGGGAGTAATCTGGAGATCACTCCCCTTGAGGTCCTGCTTTTTAAATTCTTACCTAACTCCCAATACTCATTTCGCAGGACCTCATCCCTTTGTCTGTCTATGTCATGTGTACCGATGTGCACAATGACTTCTGGCTGTTCACCCTCCCCTTCAGAATGTTCTGCAACTGCTCAGAGACATCCTTGACCCTGGCACCAGGGAGGCAACACACCATTCTGGTGTCCCTGCTGCGGTCACGGAATATCCTGTCTGTCCCCTTCACAATTGAAACTTCTGTCGGTATTGCTCTGGAACTGCACCCTTTCCCTCTGAGCCTCAGAGCCAGTCACAGTGCCACTGACCTGACTGCTGTTGCTAGCCCCTGAAAGGTCGTCTTTGCCCCTCCCCCAAGCAGTATCCAAAGCCGTATTCCTGTTATTGAGGGGCATGGCCACATGGGTTGCATTTCCCCTTTTACCTCTTCTGGTGGTCACCCAGCTACGTGCAGCCTGCACCTTAGGAGTGACCACTTCACTGTACCTCTTATCAATGATGTTCTCTGCACCCCGTATGATCCTGAGTGCATTCAGCTCCAGCTCCCATTCCCTAATGCGTCCTATCAGGAGATGCATCCAGGTGCACTTCTTGCAGGTGTAGCCACCAGGGAAACTGGAAGTCTCCCTGACCTCCCACGTCCTGCAAGAGGAACATGCTGCTGTCCTAACTGCCATCCCCACTGCCTTCAGTCTAAAATTAAAGAGCTCTTACCTGTACTTCTGCTCAGCCTCAGGCTGAAACCTCTCAAGCAAAGGACTCAGCACTTCCAATCTAACACTGGCCCTCCTGGACCTCTTGATTTCTTTTTGAATGCTGTGGTAATTGGTTAAAGCATTTCTGGATGTAGAACATTCTAGAGTTAATCATTCTCATTTGGGTCAATTTGAGCCACGATTGTGCTCTTTGACTGAAGCGATGAAACAGCCTCGGATTCCAATTCCGATCATGGGAAACTCCTGTGTGCACGGTTCAGAGCAAATTCTGCCAGAATACTGCCCATGGGGAAGTGCTTTGCTGGCATTGAATGGCACTTGGATAAGGATAGGGCTGCTGGGACCTGTATTTGGGAGACTAAACAGGTCTTCTATCGGGAGAAGATTGGAGAATCAGATAACACGTTGTGCATAGAAGCATTTAACCCTGCAGAACATTCTCCAATTTAAGTCTCAAGATTGCTTATACACAGTCAATACACTTCGAAAACATTTGAGTTTTTTTCATTTTGTTGTAAGTTTTAAGCAGAGGTTTTCTTTAAGTTTGGATGTCATTTAGGGCTGCATAGCAAATTTAGACATTTTTGATTTAAATGATGAACTGAAATTCTGCATAGAGGATATTTTAGCTTGTATTTATTTTGAATGAAATGTGAATGCAATTCTGCTTGAATCATGAAATTTTTTTACCAATTAAATTCTCTTGTAGTCGTGAAAGAGATCGAGATAGGAGGCGTTCACGTGAACGGTCGCCACAACGTAAACGGTCCCGAGAGCGATCACCACGGCGAGAAAGGGACAGGTCACCAAGAAGGCAGAGACGTGTGGTTCCTCGCTACACAGTTCAGTTCTCCAAGTTTTCTTTGGATTGGTATGTGTACAACTATTTTTTGTGATCATGGCACTGCTTAGTTAGCAATGACTAATTTTAGTGAGATTTTGCTTTTATTGAAGTGAGAAATGTTGATAAAGGATGAATTTTGACCATTCTTAGCTTGTGTAAGAAAGATGGCAGGTATACCTCCATAACATGGAAAGCTGTGTTTTTTTTTATTTTACTTTCACTGTGTGTGCAGTGTGACTGAAGATTGCGCCCATTCATACAGCAAAATTACTGGAACTGTTTAAAAACAGGGCGCTTCCATGTTTCCTTAATATGCAAATAGAAATAATTTGAGTTTTTTTTATTGTGATAAAATTGTCCCATATCACTTCTGTAACTAGCCAAATGATTAAAACTTCAGTCAGCAGAAATGTAACTCACTAATACCATTTTTTGAGTAGTAAAATTCATCTCAAATTAGGCTTTCCGTTCTAACTTTTACCCAGTCACACATCAAAAGCATGTATGGGTAATGATGTTTAATCCTATTCCATTACTGAAAGGACAGTGTGGAGAAAAAAATATGCTGAACCCATTCAAAATGCCCATGGAGTGTTTTTGGGACTCTGATTGTCGATGTGTGATTTTCATTCTATTCAGAATATTTGTTATATTTATACTACGTAATGGGCATGAGGCCATTGAGCACTTCTGTTTGTAATAGTTGTACAATCCAAGGTCCACAACCACGAACTAGGGAACCAGAGGTTCTCATTTTCCTTCATACTATAGTTGTTAGGTTTTAAACTGTTACCCATGAAACTTATTATGCATCAGGACCGACTGCATCTATCCTGTCAAAATGTCTAACCTAGGTTTGCTGCTGTTGACAAGAAGAATTCTCTTAGAAGAAATCTCTTAGTGGAAATCAAGGAGCAAATATGTAGACATTAGAGTTATAATTGGGTGATTATACCAGGGGAATTCAGCTTTCCCAACATAAATTGGGATAGTCATGGTGTTAAAGGTTTTAGATGGGGCAGATTTCTTGAAATATATCCAGCGGAGGTTTCTTTTGTAGACAGCCCAACAAGGGAGGGCACAATGTTGGATCTGGTCTGGGGAGAAAAGCTGGACAAGTGTGTAAATAGTAAAGAAGATAGTTGTAGGTTACAGGAGGATACAGTTGGGTAGGTCAGATGAGCAGACTAGTGGCAGATTGTATTTAACTCTGATAAGTACGAGGTGATACACTTTGGAAGAAGAAACAAGATTTAGGGAATGTTTAATAAATCACAGGACACTGGTTAGCTTAGAGGAACTGAGGAATCTTGGGATAATTATTCACTGGTCCCTGAAGTCGGGAGAGCACATGAATAGAACAGTAAAGAAACATTGGACACTTGCTTTCATCAGTCGTGGCATAGAGTATAAGAGCAAGGAGGTAATATTGGAGTTGTACAGTGTGTTGGTCAGGCGAGAATTGGAGTATTGTGTACAGTTCTGGTCATCTCATTACAGAAGGATGTGATAACACCAGAGGGGGTACAGAGGAGTTTCACCAGGATGTGCCTGGGATGGAGAAATTGAGATATAAGGAGAGACTTTATAGATTTGGATTGTTTTCTTCAGAGCAGGGGGACATGATTGAGGTGCATGGTCAAGGTGAATAGGGAGCAGCTGTTCCACTTGGTGGAAGGGTTAATCACGAGGGCATAGTTTTCGGGTAAGGGGAAGGAGATTCAGTGGGGATTTGGGAAAAATCTTTTTCATTCAGCAGGTAGTTGGAATCTGGAGTGCACTGCCTGGGAAGATGGTAGAGGCTGGAAACCTTACAACCTTCAAAAAATATTTGGATAAAAAACATTCAAGGATATGGAACAAGTGCAGAAAATTGGGATTATGGTGGTAGTTATGTCAGTCCAGAATCAATGGGCCAAAGGGCTTTTCTGCAATCTATGAATCTATTGGTTTTTCTTTATTCACTCATGGGTCATGGGTATCCCTGGCTTAGCTGACCTTTGTTGCTCATCCCTACTTAGGGAGATGGTGGTGAGCTGCGTTCTTGAATTGCTGCAGTCCATATGCTGTAGGTAGATATACAATGCCATTAAGGAGGGAATTCCAAGATTTTGACTCAGCGACACTGAAAGAACGACAATATATTTCCAAATCAGAATGGTGAATGGCTTTGAGGGGAACTTGCAAGATGATAGTGTTCCTGTATAGCTGCTGCTCTTGTCCTTCTAGGCAGTTGTGACAGTGGATTTGGAAGTCACTGTCTAAGGATCTTTGAATTTCTGCAGTGCATCTTGTGTGTAGTGCACACTGCTGCTACTGAGTGTCAGTGACGGAGAGTGTGGATGTAGCGCCAGTTAAGTGGGCTGCTTTGTCCTTGATGGTGTCAAGCTTCTCAAGTATTTTTGGAGCTTCACTCACCTAGATAAATGGGGCATTTCATCGCACTCCTGTTTTGTGCCTTGAGGTAACCCCCAGGATGTTAATATGAGGGATTCAGTGATGGTAACACCATTCTCCATGCAAGCAGTACAGCCCTGAATGAGTCAAGGTATATATCCATTTCATTGGAGCTGTTGAATTATGCATTTATTAATTGTCTAAAGATAATGTCATCACTATAGACCTAATGCTAGAGATTTATGCCTGGGCAAGAGGTAGTGTTTTATGCTTTAAGATGTGTGTAGATGACCCGACACAGCTCAGTTGAGCCACAAAAGTTACAAAAGCAATAAAGCTGTGATAAGTCCATGGTTTGGCTGAAACAAGAGTGCTGTGTCCAATTATGGGCAGTGCGTTTCACGAGAGTATCAAGACACTAGAAAGTGCAGCAAAGAATGATGAGAATGGTTCCAGGAATGTGAAACTTTAGTTATGTAGCTAAATTAGAAACATTGGGACTGTTGTTCTCCTTCGAGAAAAGAAGGCTGAGAGGCAGTTTAATGGAGGTATTCAAAATGACTGGAGGTAGGACAGAGTTGATAAAGAGAAGCTGTTCCCATTTGTGAAGGGATTGAGATCCAGAAGACACTATTTTTAGATAGTTGGCGAAAGAACCAATGGGGACATGAGTACATTACGCAGTGACTAGAATTGAGAGTCTAATGATGACCGTGAATCTATTGTCGATTGTTGGAAAAACCCGTCTGGATCTCTAATGTCCTTTAGGAAAAGAAACTGCCATCCTTACCTGGTATGACCTGCATATGACTCTCAGAATATTAATGTAGTTTACTCTTAATTGCCCTCTGGGATGGGCAATAAATGCTGGTGCCCTCATCTCTTGAATGAATAATAGTCCACTGTGGTTGACTCTTAACTGCTCTTTGGGCAAATGGGGTGGGCAATAAATGCTGGCCTAGCCAGTGACACCCTTGTCCCGTAAATGAATTTTTAAAAATCTGAAATTCCCTGCCTCAGTTGAGGCAACTTCAGTCATGGTATTCAGAAAGGGATTTGGATTGTTATCTGAAATTGAAACATTTGTGAGTCTATCAGGAAAATGTAGTGGAGTGTCACTTGGTGAATTGCTTCTTCAGAGAGGCCATGAGAGGCTAAATAGCTGCTTTGTGTTCTGCACCCATTCTGTTGTGTGGAATTAGGTCAGAGATCAGCCACAATCTCATTGATGGTAGAACAGGCACAAAGGGCTAAGGGTGGCTTCCTATTGAATTTTTATCATTCCTGAAAAACATGATGCACCATTTAATAAATGTATGTTTTCACAAACCGGCAAAAGTTACTTAAAATAAATATTAAAAGGTGCCCACAGTACATTTTTCCAGTTTCTATATAAAAACATTTGTTATTCCCAAAGTAGTTCTTCAACTGAAATTGGAACTTTAAAATAGAGATTGAAAAATGTGGAGCAATAGAAGCGGACAACAGTCTATCAAGAGGAATTCAAATTCATCTGATACTTGGGTTTACATCGCCTGTAAAAAGAAAGAAATCTTCTTCAATTTGTCCAATGAGAGAAAGCAAAAACACCACTGTAATCAAACTGCTTCTTGCCTATTAAAAAAGAAACCACAGGGTGATGTTAATCACAAATGTTATCAGTGACTGTTTTATGAGAAGCAGTAATTAACTGTCAAACCTTTCCTGATAGAAGCCTCATGAATCTGTTTGAAAAACAAAGCGCTCCCAATTGGCTGCAGAATGAGAGCTAGCTTGTACTTCAGATCAGAAACTACTTCATTTATGTTAAGAAATTCTGTAAGTGCTCATGCTCAGAGTGGCAAATCTTTGGAGGACCCAGTGAAAAATAATAGTTTATGTCAAGAAAGCTAAGACTGGACAAGTGTTTGAAATAAAAAAAATGAAATAATAGAGGACACTGAAAAGGAAATCTATTCATAAATCTATTCATATCACTGAAATATGCATCAGTTGATTGTTACAGGCAAACTATTTTAGATATTAGACATTTCAGTATTGAGTATAATTGGTACAGCAAGTAAGTTCAGATTTGACAGTTTGCTGTTTCTTTTGGATGGATTCTTAAGATGAATTGGGGGCAGCACGGTGGCTTAGTGGTTAGCACTGCTGCCTCACAGCGCCGGCAGTTCCACCCTCGGGTGACTGCTGTGTCGAGTTTGCATTTTCTCCCCATGTCTGTGAGGGTTAACTGTGGTTGCTGCAGTTTCCTCCCATCGTCCAAAGATGTGCTGGTTAGGTGGATTGGCCATGCTGTATTGGCCGTAATGTCCAGGAATATGCAGACGAGGTGGATTAGCCACAGGAAATGCAGGATTATAGGGTAGGGGCTGGGTCTGGATTGACTGCACTTTGAACAGGCGATGCAGACTCGATGGGCCAAGTGGCCTGCTTCCACAGTGTAAGATTCTGTGATTCTTTGAATCATTAAGGATTGTTTGCTTTTATACATTATTCATTTCTTATTATTTGTCTAGTTGCCTGCCTCATTTTGATGTGTACATTCCCTACCTTTTCAGTCCTAATTTACTGGGAATTTGCTTTCCAGGGAGTCATAGTATGACAGTTAAAATCTGACCCAACCATGGAATTTAAAAAAGCCACAACAATGGGAACTCTATGCTACAACTGGGGCTTGAAGCTCTCCCTTGATGGTGGGATTGCAGGTGGTTCTTTATGATGCAGGAATAGACAGCTCTTGATACTAGAACTCCTAAAGCAATTAGCCTACGGCATGGTATGTTGCTGCCTTGTTAAAATTCTGAAAGTTTCTTGAAGTCTGGGTTACTTTATTCATTAGGTAATTTTTGTATCACATGCAGCACATCTTGTGACATGATGGAGCTTCGCCGCCGATATCAGAACCTGTACATCCCAAGTGATTTCTTCGATACGCAATTCACGTGGGTTGATGCATTTCTACTAAATAGACCTTTTCAACTTGGAAACCAGTGTAATTTCCATATTGTTCACAAAGAGGTGGACCCCCTGGAGAAGATGACAGCCATTCTTGACCCACCAGATGCAGACCATCTGTACAGTGCAAAGGTTTATATTTTAGATTGTCTCTTTTGGTTTCTCACAACATTCTCAGTTGCTTTCAATGTTTCTGTGAATACCTGGACTGGATTTCCTGAGAAGGATCTTCTCTGGTTTTACCGTTACGTTGTATTCTTATGTAAAGATAGATTCGACCTTGTTTACCTGCTGCTGAAGACAATTCTCTTCTTTTCCTCCTGAGGCTATGCTTATCGTGAAAGCTATTCATGTTGGAAAACATTTTGAATCCCTAGGTCAATAGATGTTCTTTCTATTCCATCTCTGCCCAATCTCAGAAAAACACGACATACTTCAGTGGTGCAGCATTTTTCAATTTCCATTAGACAGCTATGGAATCTGGACAAAATTGAGCCTCTTTAGCCTCACTTTGCATGTCAGACTCCAGTAGCTTGTTCTTTGGTCTGATTATCGCCACATCTCCACTTATTGCAAGGTCTTCGATAGGACAGTTTGGGGTCACTGAAGAGTTCAAAGAGCACAGTTGGTTGTAGGAGATATGGTAAAGAACAAAGAAAATTACAGTACAGGAACAGGCCCTTCAGCCCTCCAAGCCTGCACTGACATGCTGCCCATCATAACAAAAACCCTCTATCCTTCCGGGGACCGTATCGCTCTATTCCCATCCTATTCACGTATTTGTCAAGGTGCCCTTTAAAAGTCACTATAGTATCTGCTGCCAGTACCACCTCCGGCAGCGAGTTCCAGGAACCCACCACCCTCTGTGTAAAACAAAAACTTGCTTCGTACATCATCTTTAAACCTTGCCCCTCGCACCTTAAACCCATGGCCCCGGTAACTCACTCTTCCACCCTGGGAAAAAGCTTCTGACTGTCCAGTCTGTCCATGCCCTTCATATTCTTGTAGACTTCTATCAGGTTCCCCCTCAACCTCCATTGTTTCAGCGAGAACAACCCAAGTTTCTCCAACCTCTACTATAGCTAATGCCCTCAGTACCAGGCAACATCCTGGTGAATCTTTTCTGTACCCTCTCCAAAGCCACCACATCCTTCTGGTAGTGTGGCGACCAGAATTGAACACAATATTCCAAATGCGGCCTAACTAAGGTTCTTTAAAGCTGCAACATTACCTGCAAATTTTTTAACTCAATGCCCCGGCCGATGAAGGTAAGCATGCCGTATGCCTTGTTGACTACCTTTTCCACCTGCGTTGCCACTTTCATTGACCTGTGTACCTGTACACCCAGATCCCTCTGCCTATCAGTACTGTTAAGGGTTCTGCCATTAACTGTATATTTTCTATCTGGATTACACCTTCCAAAATGCATTACCTCACATTTTTCTGGATTAAATTCTATCCGCCATCTCTTTGCCCAAGTCACCAACCGATCTATGTCCTGCTGTATCCTTTGACGGTCCTCATCGCTATCCGCAATTCCATCAGCCTTTGTGTCATTGGCAAACTTACTAATCAGACCAGTTACATTCTCCTCCAAATCATTTATATATATTACAAACAGCAAAGGTCCCAATACTGATCCCTGAGGAACGCCACTAGTCACAGCCCTCCATTCAGAAACGCACCCTTCCACTGCTAACCTCTGTTTTCTGTGACTGAGCCAGTTTTTAATCCATCTTGCAAGCTCACCTCTGACCCCGTGCGACTTTTTATCTTCTGTATCAGCCTGCCATGAGGGACGTTGTCAAAGGCCTTACTGAAGTCCATGTGGACAACATCCACTGCCCTGCCCTCATCAGTTATCCTGGGCAAGATGGGTAAATGGGCAAGAACAGAAGAAGATTTCATTTTAAGCATGCTGCAGTTAGCTGTACTACCTTACAGGAAGCAGAATTGTGCAGATTTTGTGTAGGGAACTTGATGAGTCAGGCTCAGCTAAATGGCTCAATGTTGTTAGAACTTGGTCACCTAGACCTTGATCTACCCATTCCACCTGAATGAGTTCCTTCGGTATTGTAACGGATCTGTAACTCTGAGTTGAGGTAGAACCAGTATTTTAACACTAAAATTCACAATTAAGATTATAGTTTAAAGTTGGAGTTTAACATGGAATTCAGGAGAAACTCTTTATCCCGGAAACAGATAATCTTCCATGACTTGTGATAAAAAGCATTTCACAGTGGCTAGGAATATGAGAGACTATGGTATAGAAGGTTATCCTGAAAGGATTTGTTAGTGGCACAATAGGAGGCTACTCTGGAGCAGGAAAACATAAATATGGGACAGATAATTTGATCTGAATGATCTATTTATGCCTGAACAGTGTAATTTATATGCTGCACATTCTGCCTATCATTACAGGACAATTGGTTTAAAGATATAAGTGTCGTGGGGCAAGATGAGAATAGGGTTTCTTGTTGGGTGGTTGTTTCTTAGATTTACTATATAATTCTGCTCTTGGTTGAAATTACTGTCTGATTCCATTAGGTTATGCTGCTGGCAAGCCCTGGCATGGATGAACTCTTCCATAAGTCATGTGCACTTGCTGAAGACTCGCAGGAGATACGGGAAGGATACCAGCATCCTGCACGGCTCATAAAGGTAGTAGAATATTTAACCCTGTAACAGTGATGTAATCGGTGGTTTAGTCATGGTTGACGATTTACGTGCCCTCGTTATCAAGGGTGGGTTGTTGGTAATACAGTATACAGTAGTCCATCATAACACCATCCTCATCCGCCACATCTAGACCCCAAACTTGATTATTTTATGTGCATCTCATCATATTGGTGGCATTCATTATTTTATATTATGCCCACCTGGTGTTGGACTCAAGCTTACCCAAGTACCGTCAGGCATATAACATCCTTTCAGAGATAGTAGGAACTGCAGATGCTGGAGAATCCGAGACAACAAGGTGCAGGGCTGGATGAACACAGCAGGCCAAGCAGCATCATAGGAGCAGAGAGGCTGACGTTTCGGGCCTAGACCCTTCATCAGAAATATAACATCCTTTCTCTTGTTTTACGCTCAACTAGTTGGCAAGGTGAAACTTGTTTTAGAATAATCTTTGGTAGATCTCAGTCTATATCTTCAGATCTCAGTTCATTGCTTCCCGTTCTGTTGCACTTGTTGAGGATTGTTCAGTCATCAGATTCATTAAAATGAATGTTTTCATAGTGGCCACACTGTTTGAGGATAAGCACAACTTTGTCACAAGTCAGTCATTTATATTAAACAAAACCTGTTTAAAACTGTATTCGGTAAAGAGCCAACCTACGCATGATACGCTACACAGCTTCTCTGGTGAAGCCGGGTTCATCGTTCCTTGGTCCTGTGGATCAATGAAATGGCTTAGTTGCAATCCATGTTTTTCCATCTCCCCTTCCCATTTGTACTCTCATAAGCACATGTATGTCATTATCACTTTGTACAGACCTATCCACCCAAGTGTGAATCCTACCCTTTTAGTGGTCGCCTGTACATATATCCTGTCCCCTGCCTTGGAGATTGGTTCATTACTGCCATTACTTTTCCTTCCCTGATCTGGATGACTTGTTGTGCCCTCTCACTCTTGTCTTAATTCACATAGTTGATTATCTAATTGTCGTACGTAGTTCCTAATACAGTTCCTTACTAGTGCCTCGCTACCAGTCAATATTCCTTTGGTAGTCATGTAGCACATCCTGTCATTAGTTCGAATGGGGCCAGTGTTTCCGGTTAGTTGTATACAGGGGAGGACCTCTACCCATCCCTGTCCTGTTTCTGCTGAATGATTCTTAAAATTCTGTTCATTTGCTTGGTTCCTGTGGGTGATAATGGACATGGAATCCTTGCGGGGAATGATTTTTGTGTGCCAGTATTTGGGCTGCCATCTTAGCATAGAGTCTCAGGTGAGAAATATTTCTACCGACCATGTAAATTGATCAGCTACTACTCAGCAGTATTTCTTGCCCTGTTGTTAGCAGGATTCCAGTAAAATACTTTTTTGCAGATTTTCCCAAAGGTCTTTAGGTCTTCGCTGATGGGCCATTTTACTTTGGTGTTTCAGGATTGTACCATCTGCTTGTTATGCATCACTGACAATGTTTGGACACATCCCTCCCCATTTACTAATCCTTTACTAATCCTCTGTGGTTTCTGTGATTTTTTTTTTTTTGTTTTTTTAGCAGGTTTATTTAGATACAGTCTGGCTGTATGACCCATGAATGTTTCCTCCATACCCTTCTGCTCGAACTGCCTCTTCATCCATTGCTCTTGCTCCTCCATACTAGCTTTCTCTGAATCTTTGTAATATTCATTTCACATAGTACCATTACTGCAGTGGAAACTGGGACTAGTGTTTCTTTCTCAGCCACTTGTCTGGCTATCTCTTCCATTAGTGTACTTCCTCTGTGTTCCTCAATTTCCACCTTCTAATGAGATTTTATTTTAATCATGGCCAGCTCTCCCAAGCATTGTGCTGCCTCCACAAGCCCTCTCACTACATTCTTATGCCTTGTGTCCTCTTGCTGAGGTGACATATCCTCACCTACTCAAAGCTATCATGTTATCGTGTAGCTCCCAGAACCATATTGGCTCTCTGTATAAATGTCAACTTTTATTTTCTTGTCACCAGTTTCAAGGTTTCTGTCAGAGTAGTCAGCTGGGTCACTTGAGCAGAGACATTTTTCTTCAACCCCTCTTTGGCTCCTGCTCTCCTATCCCCTGTTAGCACTGTCCACCCAGTATGTGACTCTCTGTATATTGCCATACTCCATCCACATAAAAGATATAGTTGAGGTTTTCCAGGGGCTCTCTTGAGGCTGTTTCTTGTGGTTCTCCATCTGTAGCAACCTCCAAATAAACAAACCTCCAGCAGGTACTTGTACCTCTGGTATCCCTCGCTATCTGACCTGATCTGACATAAGGTTTTAGGATTGCTTCCTATGCAGCTCTTCTGCTGTCCAAGAAATATTTCAATTTCCCTATGTTCAGCAGATCTGCCAGTGTAGGTCACATGCAATGCTGCCTGCTCTGATGTAGTTACCAGCTTGTAGACTTTCACTGCTGATGCTACACAGTCTAATGTGGCTGCACATCTTGCCATACCCTGGTCTACGGGGAGCTGTTGGGTGGAATAATAAGCTACTGGCCTCATGTCCCTGCCATACTCCTGTAACTCTACAGCATTTTAGAAGTCTTCATCCATATTGTAGTGCCCGTAAATGATCAGGACATATTGGGCAATCTAAAGGTGGGGTCTGATATCAAGGTGGTCTTTGGTCCCAAGTAGGCCTTATTCTGATTCCCAGCTCCTGCAATGCCCTCCAGTCATGGAAGGCCTCAACTGCTGATGGACACAGGGTATTGCCATTCCAAGGACAGCCAGACATGTGAAACTACAGAAGAGAGGAGGCAGTTGGGTCTAGTGATGTGTTATTGACCATCTTGGCCAGATACATGAGCAGGCTGCTGAGGAGGACTCCCAAACTTCCTCCTCCCACTCTGGGTGATCGTAGATCTGGAGGTGGGACTGAAATGTAATCCAAGGTGAGGAGCAGCCCTTCAAAACATTGAATAGTGACTTCAATATGAAGAAAAATCCATTTATATATAGGAGCATGTGTTAGTGATTGCAACAAGGTCAGCCAGATGGACCTCATAGAATATGAGTTCCCTGATTGGACTAATTAACAGTCCCAATCAAGGAGTCCTAGCTGACAGATATAAGCAGGAGTGTCAGGGGTCTGTTCACTCTAGGAGCTGGCTCTGAGCTAGCTGCGTCTGTGTCAGGTACTACGCACATGTAAATAAAGGGTGATTTGGTGTTGGGATACCAACCTTTATGGAATTTATTTCACATGGGCTTCTCAAGGCTGCAGAAAATGCAGTCAACGTGGGAGTCCAGGGACCATCTTAAACCTCCTATTGGTCAAGAGTGTTGCACGCAACGCCTTTCATGCTAACTGTCCAATGAGAAAGGGCGGACTACTACACAGAAAAAAGCCTCCCATGGCAGAACAGAATGCCATGCTGCGTCTGGACAATTTGTTACATATTTTGAAAATCCATGAAATCAAATTAACTGGTAAATACAATGAAGCGGCACTTGAACAAAAGTTGAATCGTCAAGGAAACTTATTAATTTAAATTAAAGATGTTTCCAGGACTGCTGAGGTACTGTAGCCCATGTTGGGGCAACCAGTCATGGAAGACAGGTCACTAAATTATATTTGTGTAAAAGGCTAGTTTTTTTGATTTTCGGAGGTTCCTTTTTCCATTCTCTCAAACTCCTGACTTATACTTTGTAGATCGGGAATCAGGAGGTGATTAATTGCTGCTGGATTCCAAGCCTCTGACCTGCTCTGGTAGCCATAAGACCATAAGAAATGGGAACAGGAATAGGCCATTCATCCCCTTGAGCCTGCTCCACCATTCAGTATGCTCATGGCTGATCTGACATTCTCCATGTCCACTTCCTTGCCCTTGCCCCATAACCTATCTATTGCAGCCTTAAATACACAAGAACCTGTCCCCATAGCTCTTTGAGGCAAGGAGTTCCAAAGACTTGCAACCCTGTGAAAGAAGAAATACCTCCTCATCTCAGTCTTAAATTGGTGCCCCTTTATTGTGAGATTGTGCCCCCGGCCCAAACTGTTCCATGAGGGGAAAAATCATCTCCACATTTCCCCTGTCAAGCTCCTTAAGAATCTTGTACCTTTCAATGAGATCACCTCTCATTGTTCTAAACTCCAATGAGTAGAATCTCCATCTGTTTAGCCTGTGCTCATAAGGCAATCCAACAATCCTAGTGAACCTTCTCTGAACTACCTCCCATGAAATAATATATTTCTAGAAATAAGGGGACGGAAACTGTTCTCAGCACTCCAGATGTGGTTTTACCAGCACCTTGTTCAATTACAGCAAGGTTTCCCTACTGCTTGTACTCCAACCCTTTAAAAATAAGGGCCAAAATTCCATTGCCTGATTATTTGATGTCCCTGTATGCTAGTAGCTTTCTTTGTTTCATACACAAGTACCCCCAGGTCCTCAGTATTAAATGCAGTTTCTGGTTAATGGTGTTATAAAGCAGGGGTTGACCCCTCCCTTCTGAGAATTAAAACGTAAACACCTAAACAGGAGCATCTTGTCCTATAATCTGCAATGGGAGTGTGAAAAGTGATGTAACCTGCTGTTCAGCAACTTCTCGTCATTAAATAAAATGAATCCCTGACACTCACTTTGCAGTCAACATGTAACAATTTATTTATCTGACTCTTAACAGTGAACAAAATAACTAAACTATTAACAAACTGAATAAATGCCTTCTAAAAACTAACTATTCCAGAATAAAATAAGATTCTGTGGTATGCTCTTCCAATAAATACAAGTCCCACTTATATATAAAAAAATAGAATTTAGTCTCTCGAAATTACCGTCACGTTATGTGTCTTCCAGAATGCTCTGTACCTTCTCCGTTGAATGTCCTGTCAGGGTGAGAGTGCCTTCTCCGCTGACTCTTTTGTCAGGAATATCAACTACTTGTGCTATTGGTACCTTTGATTTTTAGATGGTGCTTTCTCCAAGACCAAGAGGAGACTGAGGGAGCCAGCGATTCT